AATTTCTTGACCTCCCTGTCAATGGAGGGGGGGGGGGGATCAGTCCCCTTTTTCCACTAAAACGCGTCGGAATGACCCAATATACCATGAATGACTTCATATACGATTAAACGTGACTACCTTGAAGCTCTTTTTGCTCTTGGGCAGCTGTAAGGTCATGTGACGTCATCAAGGGTCACCAAATGTTATTTTTACTAAATACTACTTACAGGAACGAGATACAGACGCGTTGATGGTCTCATTGTATTCAGCTCGTCGTCAAGGCACATTGAATGATAAATATGATGACCTTGAGGTCCCGTGACCTGAGGTCAACCTTTGACCTTGATCTTTCGTGGTCAACACATATATGGTTCGATGCGGATTGACGACAGGTTCACGATGGTGCCCTTAACCCTCGCCCATGTAGGGGGGGGGTTGGTGCAACCCCCCCTGAGGTTTTTCAGAAATAGCGCAAAAACGGCGGCGCGCAGCGCCGCCAAATTTTGGGTACCTTATGGGGCAAACCTTGCGCATCTTTTGATAAAAAAAAATTTGACCGGGTCATGTCAGGTCACGGAGTTATGACGTCACAAAGGGAACAGCCTCCGGCCGGATTTTCACAAACTGAGTGCCAACGCCCGAGGTTTCCTGCCGGTGGTACGGACATCGGTTGATGGATCGTGATGAAACTTCCCATGCATGTTGGGGCAAGTATTGGCTATCATATGGTATAAGAAACTTGACCGGGTCAGGTCAGGTCACGGAGCTATGACGTCACAAGAGGAACAGCGTCCGGTACTATTTTTGAAAAGCGCCCGAACCACTATTTTGCTAATTCTTGTCACCTCAATGGGAATATGCAGCAATATTAGCTTCTATAGGGAGCAAATGGACCTTCCAAATTCAAAAATACAATCAGATTTCAAAAATTTAAATTTTGATTTTTCGAATTTCTGCCGCCGACTGTGATCTTGCCGACTTCCGGCGCTCCCAACGCGCCATTTTTAGAGCTAGGGAAACGAAATACATACCAAACGATAGAGAATTGATCAAGGAACACGATAGTGAAGGTTTCAAGTCGATATCTTCCACCGTTTTGCCGCAATCGCCGCGGAAAGTTGAAAAAAGTCTATTTTTCCGAAAATTTGACCTTTGACCGGTCAAAAGTAGGTCAAATGTTAACCTAGGACCAAAAAATATACCACCAATCGCGAGATCTCGGCGAGAGCAATCCGTTGGTCTTTTCCGCTAAGCTCTACGACGCTCCGTTTTCAAACGCCAAGGGGGGGGGGTCGCACCAACCCCCCCCTGCATGGGCGAAGGTGGCAGATCGCCGTTTACGGGCGAGGGTTAATTAGTGCCTAGCTTGGCTACTTCGAAAGTTGTTCGAGAAAAAAAAAAAACTCTTCATTTCTAACGCCGCCATTTTCACTTTTTGACCCTTGTGACATCATCTTTGACCTGACCTGAAAATGACCTGCGTAAAAAATTGTAGACCTTGTCCGTGCGTATCACATGCCGTCTACCGCTTGTCGCTATCTTGCTTCGTTCTCGAGATCTCAAAAGGTCAGGTCTCCGAAGGTTATCAACGACAAAATTTCCCACTTTTGAGATAGGTACGTGGCCAAATGGAGATCGGAAATGATGTTTCTTCATTAACCCGCGCCCCCGGCTGGGGGTCCTGGATTTCCACGCCCTGCTGGGGGGGGGGGGTGTTTGAACACCCCCCCCCTTGTAACTCGGCTCCTGGGCCACGTAGCGATACGCGGAAGGCGGCGTTCGAAAGAGCGTCAAAAATAATGAGGAAATCACTCGGTCAATTTTTTGGTCAGGTCAAAGGTCAGGTCACCAGAGGTCATTGAAGGCAAAATTTCGCCGATTTCCAGGTCGAATGTCGAAAATTTCCAAGAAGCCAACGCATAACTCGAGAACCAATAGAGCTACAGCGCCGCGGAAAAGCGCATTCGATAGCCCTATTAAAGCCCTTTCTGAGTAATTCTCTCAGATTTGACCTAACTTCAACGGTTTTGCCTGTAGAGGGCAAAAATTGCAAAAATAGCCGATTTTTTCGGAAACAGTTTTTCTGCAATAACTTTTGACCCAAGCCTTATACGAGCTTACTTTTACCAGCATTGTGTTCCTCTCGTCAAGACGCATCGAATGAACTATAAGTTGACCTTGAAAGGTCAACTTGAAAATTTGACCTCAGGTCAAGGTCATGACCTGACCGGAAAGGGTCATGTTGCATATCAGTCGATCCGTATCGTCAAGCTGAACACATCTAAGGCGTTTTCATCGCTCTAGTATGCCTCTATCAAAAGTTATTTGCGAAAAACTGTTAGATACCATTCGTGACCTAAGATGACCTCAGGGCATAAACAAGGGTCACGGACACCATTTTCATGTTCAGTGTGTCTAAACCACTTGTAATTCGGTGTTTGGGAGTGTTTATAATGTCTTTTGTCCAAAAGAGGCGCATTTCAATTTTCTCCCATTGACTTATAATGAGGAGGTCGCAAAATTGACCTGACCTTAGGTCATCGATATCAAAATTATGAGATATACATTTTGTACATGCTATTGCTCTTAGCAATCGCTGAAAGTTTCAAAGCGTTCGGTCACTCGGTGTAGCTATGACAGACATTGAAACTTTTTATGAGGTGAGGTCACTTCAAGTGACCTGGTGACCTGACCTTGAATGACCTTGGTCTGAAATTTTCACAACATGTGTAGAATTGATGTACGATAGGGTGTACCAAAAACGGCGGCGCTCCGCGCCGCCGTTTTTGAGATATTTGCGAAAAACCACAAGGGGGGGTGTTCAAACACCCCCCAGCAGGGCGCGGGTTAACCTGCTGTTTCATTAACCCGTTGGAGGGGGAAGGGGGACGCCCCCTGTCCTTTTCAGTTGATATCTTCCAAAGTATAGCGGATATCGCCACGAAACTTTCAAGACCCCTCCGTCATCAATTTTACATCTTGTGACGAAAAATGTTTCCAAAGCTTATGAATGGTTGGCAGCAAATGACGTCAGAGTGACTTCATGTTCTGCCATTTTCGACCTAAAAAAAGGCTGTGCACTGTGCAGGAAGAGTTGTCATGCCTACAGTTTTGGCGATAGAGAAAAATGTTCCGAATAAAACAGGTATAGAATTAAAAGGGCTAAAAACTGTTATCTCGCATTTTGAAAACTTATGGATTTAGACCCCCAAACTCAAAAAATGATTTTTTTTTTAATATAATTTCCCAAAATTTAAAAAAACTCAAAATTTTGAAAAACCGGTAAATATGTCATAGAAATATTGGACTGCTACTGACATGCCAAATTTGAGCTCGATAGCTTCATTTATGGCAAAGTTATGGCAAAAAACAACGCCCAAAATTAAAAATTTATTACTTAAAACCACCATTGGATTCCCTGTGATAACATGCATCGAATAGACACCATTTTATGCAAATAGCAACTTTTAAATTTGACCTTTCTTGACCTGACCTCCACCAGAATGGAACCTAGGCCGGTTCTAATGGTCGTGTAGCCAACATAATTGAATCTGAAATGTAAAAGTGACCATTATATATGTCACACGAGCCTAGGAGTTGGGTCTATATTACGGCCCTTTGTGACCTGACCTCTGTGACCTGACCTGGCATCAGTGACCTCCTAAGCAGCATATGTATTAGGCGACCAAATACGAAAAATGCGACCTGACCTGTGACGTGATCGGTTGTACCTAGGTCAAGGTGAAACTTTGTCAGGTGAAACATGTTGAGCACCTGGGTGAAACTTGGTCACAACGTAGTTCCCTGGTGGCGCTATCGAATGCCGTTTGAATTGTCAAAACCGGTCGTTAAATTTAAAAATGTGAGGGGGCCGAAACGCCCCCCCCCCCCCGCCCCCTAACGGGTGGTAGGGCCCGCCAATAGCCCAAAGGGACGCGGTTTAACTTATCTTCTGTCGTCAGTTTTGTAAATTGCGGCCCAGAGGAGATTTTAAAGGGAAATTCGATTTGGAGGGGGGGGGGGGAGCAAATCATGTTTTGGATGCCCCTATGTCCTGCTTTGGCCCGGTTGCCTCCCCCCTTGAATACGCCAGTGCAAATTGCCTAGCTACTTAAGGCTAAAGCTATAAAAACCTGCACGCTGAGTGTACGCTGGTTCATAACACGATTGGCTGGCACGCTTTCAAACAACCGTTTACCTACAACATTTTTGAGCTATCTATTACGCTTTGGTCTGAGATCACTGTTCGGCCATTTTCTAGCTGTTGGCTTCTATTCGAGTGCCGTGTAGTTACAAATAACCTACCCAGATTTTCTTCCCTTTTTGAATTACGCTTTAGATGTATTGCGGTCTCCCATCAAAATCCCCTCGTATATGAATACTTGGCTTAGCGTATGTCACTCATCCTATACATAGCAGAGTCCGTTTCCGCCCGTCTACATCGGCAGCGGGCAGGTATACACAGCTCCAAAGCCGTCTCGGCTCACGCATTAATATACGTGATCGACCGGCGGTATGATCCCGAACTGGTCACCAGCGTTCCCGGGCAGCCAGGCATGGTTGTCATGACGACCCAGTCGCACAGCCATCACCGCCATCATAACGTCAATACGATTCGGCGAATTATCCGGACCGGCAAACTTTGCATACATGCGATTAGCATCGGGGAATATCCCAGCATGAAAATGAGCATAATGGAAAATGAATCCCTGCTCTCCAAAGTGGGTGTACAATTTGCATGCATCTACCTACATGCATTCATCTGATCAATTTAAAACATTATGCTGGTATAACTTATCTAAATACCAAGTACACAAAATATGTGCCAGATTTATGTGCTAACTGCTGTATAATGTAAGAAAAAAACTTATTGAGACGGTATATGAAAAATATGATAAGCAATCACTATTCACTAATACTCTTTGCGGTGAGACATTCAGCGTTTTGTCTACCTCCCTCGCTCACACCTATGTAAATCCCGTCCCAATTCAACTCGCTACCTCCCGTTCACCGCGCAGGATGAGGACACGGACGAATCGTCGAGCGGTGGCGACTACAACCAGGGGCTGGCAATTGACCCGTGCGACTACCTCAGCGATTCGGAGGTCTCCACTGGCAGCGTGGACCTATCGGCCGAGCAGGTCAGAGGCTCCTCTGAATCTGAGAGAGCTCAGGACCGTCAGATTGTTTCCTCCGTACTTAGTACCAAGCGACCATGCATTTTTTTAATCCTTACCTTCATGTTGACGATGTAATAATCTCGCTGGATTGGAGAGCATCCTTTTGACACATCAAAGCTTGCTTGTATCTGCTCTCGTTCAACCTTGTTTTCTCATCCCTGTAGTGTTCAGTCTTAGTAGCTAGAATATTCTTCAAAGGGAATATTATCAGTATACCGACTGTAACTACTGCAACATGCACTTAAGCTGTGACAGCAAAAAGGAAAGTTCTTAATAACATTCACAAAAGTCTTCTTGTGTCTATCATCAAAAGGCCTTTGTGTTCCTTGTTAGCATGTCATTTTTCCATTGTTCGAAAACCCTCTCTCGTCCCACGCAGTCCAGCCCCTTCCCGAGACCGACCCTCACACTAATGACCAGCCCCTCCCCTCCACTCCCCGTCGCTACCTGTCACTACCTGTCGCTCCCCGTCGCTCCCCGTCGCTCCCCGTCGCTACTCTCTACCCGTCGCTACCCGTCGCTCCCCGTCGCTCCCCGTCGCTACTCTCTACCCGCCGCTGCCCGCCGCTACCCGTCGCTGCCCGCCGCTACCCGTCGCTACTCGTCGCTACCTGTCGCTACCCGTCGCTCCCCGTCGCTACTCGTCGCTACCCGTCTCTAACTACTCTCTACCCGTCGTTCCCCACCGCCCTTGTCGCTCTCCGTCGCTCCCCATCGCTCCCCGCCACTCCTCGTCGCTACCCTCCGCTCCCCGTCGTTTTCAGGTGGTCTGGGAGAAGCGCCTGGTGGAGTGTCCGGCAGCGCTGCTCCGAAACCGACTCCGTCACGCCAGCTACAAGAAGAGTAACTCGTCGCACGAGGTGCGGCGCGGCCGTCGCGGCGGCCGTCCGCTGCGCCGGCGAGCGTCTGATAACCTGCTCTGCTCACGATCGGCCATGGCCACGCCGCGCACACGGCTGGTGGCCGGCACCGTGTGCTGGAACAGCGACACAGGTGGGACGCAGGGAGCAGCGACACAAGTGGGACACGGGGTACAGGGTCACAGGGGACGCAGGAACACAGGGAACAGGTGGGACGCAGGGAGCAGCGACACAGGTGGGACACGGAGCACAGGGTCACAGGCTGATACACGATATGTAAATGACACAGATAGATGGGACTCACTATCCAGGGCTTGTGTGCCACAGGGATGCTAATGATGCTGCATAATCAATCCCTATATAGGTATTCTGAGACTGAATGTTTCAGTGTTTCCTACAGTCCTCAATGTACCGGTATTCATTTTATCAACACCTGACTGCTGACCGTTGTTCCCCCTTCCGCAGATATTGTGCTGCCGAACGAGTCGGTTGAACTGGAGATCGGAGAGGACTGCGGCAGCGGCAGCAGCCTGGACAGCCAGACGCTGGGCAGAGCCGCCCAGCACCAGTCCAGTAAGTGCGATAGTCACTCGTAGTAGTGATAAACGCAATAAGAAACAAAGAAAGGAGGGAGGTAATGAGACACGAACAATTATAAATCGAAATATGGTAGGGGAATGAGCGAGATGAAGCCTTGTTTTTACTAGTCACAACCTGCAATAGTGATTTATTATTCATAGGGCTGCGGAGTCGATGGAATTTCGGGTCACTCCGACTCCGACTCCGACTCCGACTCCGACACCGCAGCGCAGATTATTCGTGTGTCAGCTGGTTTGTGTTTTTCTGGACTGGTTCATTACGGTCCAATGTGCGCACCGTGACGACCCCGGTCCTGTGTTCGTTGCAGACGCTCTGCCGCCGGTAGTGACTGACTCGGAGAGGCCGGTGCAGTGCGGTGCCGCCGTCCAGGAGCGCTGCCTGCGCCCTCAGCCGTGTCTGACGCACGCTCTGCTGCTGGCCGGCCTGCCGGGTGGCGCGCGGTCGGGGCGCCAGCACCTGTCCACCGCCCACTCGGCACGCGGGCTGCTGCTGCCCGACCTCGTCCCTCCGCCAGAGAGGACCAACGGTAACGGCGCAGGACCGAAACGAGAGTCCGGTGACCCGCCAAAGGCAGAGGAGGGCGTGCAAGAAGGAGACAGAGACAAACAGAAGACGGAGAGGGACTCCCAGAAGGCGGAGACGGACGGACAGGAGGCGGACTCCCAGAACTCCAGCCGGCGTCGGTCGCGCGCCTCCGCCTCTGAGCAGCGGCGGGCGGAGGCGTCGGCGGCCGGTCGGGGCGCCGGCCGGGCCGCGGAGCCGGCGGCGGGTCGCAGTCCGCGCCGACCTCCTCCGACAGAGACGGTCAGCAGCGGCAGCCGTGCCAGTTCTGACACCGACCTGTGGCCGTCGTCGCGGCAGCACAGCCACACCTCGAACGCGTCCCTGTCGTCGCTCTCACACTCGGCCGTACTGGACGTGGTCGACGAGCCACCGCAGATGACCGCGCTGGAGAGGAAACTCATCATGAAGAAACACCCGATGCTGCGCAACGACACGAACGCTCACATTCTGGCACCGCCCGACTTCCGTATCGGGATGAAGTAAGCAGCACCGAGCTTTGCAGAACGGCTCCTAGTAGTACAAACGACTCAACAAGCTCTCTTCCATGTAAATAAACTCGTCTTCTCTCTTACTTTGCACTGAATGGTTAATCGTGATAAATTATTATGTTAATTGAAATAACATTAGCCACAAAACACGCATGATTTTTTCAAGTCGGCAAACATCGTAGAAATATTTGTTCTTTGTGGGAAAACGAACTGAAAGTTTGAATTTAGCCAAGTTCAGGCAAAGTTCAGAATGCCAAGCTGTATCTGCCAATGCGACTCAGAAGTAGCAACAAGAGTGCACACTGTCCAAAACTCTAACATGACAACAGACGGTAGGCTCGTGACAAATATGGATGGATAGTCATGTGTGTTCTTTGGCACTTCATACCTACCGCCCTATGAAAAGTGGCCTGTGTTCGCTGCTCTCTACATGTCGAACGACGTAAACACATTCAGGCTTATCTCAGAGCGTATCCCCTTTGTTCAAGCTTATCCCCCGGCCGGGACGTATGTAGAAAACATAGGTCCGGCGTGGGTAGGTATTCTAAAGAGCTTGACAAAATCGCTTTAACGACACGTTGATTTTGTCATTTGATTATGTTTCTCTTCGAGGTTTCTCGATAGGTACACCAATGATTTGGATGATTGGTTAGTCGTAAAAAGCCTATTTTTCTTTTCCTTTGTAGTGTGCTATCATTCCTTGTGATGCAATGCGTGTACTTGAACAACTTTTCGTCATCACAGCATATGTTTTTGAAAATAAATGTTAGCTTTATGGGATATAGGTATACCTACGCCGTTTAGGTTGATTGATATACCTGTGAATGTCTGTTTAGTGTTTAATGTCATTGATGCGTCTTAGCTGCTTCTGTTTTTTGGCACACGCTTGTATTTTGTCTTCGTATGAATGGAAGCATCACATGCTCCGTTGTCGCCGCTGAGAGGATAAGCGTAATAAATAACACGATGAAACGGTCTCCCTCGCGTGAGAACATGCAGAAACAATTGGAGAGTTGGAGCTGCAACTATCTACTATTATAAATCTTAAAAAGTCCGCCGCCGTCGGGGTTACGCAGTCGGCGTTACTCCCAAAAACGGCTATTGCAAAGCCGTCGATTGACGCAGGGGGGTGAAATTTTCACGACTCGTGAGTCACGTAATTCAACAGGTCGTATTAAATTTTGGGCTCGATTCGGCCGGGGGTGCGCCCGTGGCGCGTGCTCATCTGCGCCATAGGGTTAGCATTAGAATCGCGACCGGCGCCGAGCAGAGGGCACGTGCTTTAGGCTCAGTTGTTCGCTTAAAAAACTGAGTGAAAAGCATCAGAGCCGGCAGGTCATTGACCTTTGACAACGAAGGCCGACACAGGGCACCGCTCGCCAAGGGGATTCGCCAGTAAATACAATTAATTTGTTTTTGCAATATCTCGGCCGTTTCTGGGCCGATTTAGCTGAAACTTGGACTGTCGGTGGTAGTGTAGGGTAGGGTAGGGTAGGGTAGGGTAGGGTAGGGTAGGGTAGGGTAGGGTAGGGTAGGGTAGGGTAGGGTAGGGTAGGGTAGGGTAGGGTGGGGTAGGGTAAGGTAGGGTGGGGTAGGGTAGGGTAGGGTAGGTGAGTGAAAAGCATCAGAGCCGGCAGGTCATTGACCTTTGACAACGAAGGCCGACACAGGGCACCGCTTGCCAAGGAGATTCGCCAGTAAATACAATTAATTTGTTTTTGCAATATCTCAGCCGTTTCTGGGCCGATTTAGCTGAAACTTGGACTGTCGGTGGTAGTGTAGGGTAGGGTAGGGTAGGGTAGGGTAGGGTAGGGTAGGGTAGGGTGGGGTAGGGTAAGGTAGGGTGGGGTAGGGTAGGGTAGGGTAGGGTAGGGGTAGGGGTAGGATAGGGTAGGGTAGTGTAGGGGTAGGGTAGGGGAAGGGTAGGGTAGGGTAGTGTAGGGGTAGGGTGGGGTAGGGTAGGGTAGGATGGGGTAGGGTAGGGTAGGGGTAGGGTAGGGTAGGGCAGTGTAGGGGTAGGGTTAGGGTAGGGTAAGGTAGGGTAGGGTATGGTAGTGTAGGGTAGGGTATGGTAGTGTAGGGTAGGGTAGGGTAGGGTAGGGTAGGGGTAGGGTAGGGTAGGGTAGTGTGGTAGGGTAGGGTAGGGTAGTGTAGGGGTAAGGTAGGGTGGGGTAGGGTATGGTAGGGGTAGGGTAGGGTAGGATAGGGGTAGGGTAGGGTAGGGTAGTGTAGGGGTAGGGTAGGGTAGGGTAGAGTAGGGTAGGGTAGGGTAGGGTAGGGTTGGGTAGTGTAAGGGTAGGGTAGGGTAGGGGTAGGGGTAGGGTAGGTTAGTGTAGGAGTAGGTAGGGTAGGGTAGGGTAGGGTAGGGTAGTGTAGGAGTAGGGTAGGGTAGGGTAGGGTAGGGGTAGGGTAGGGTAGGGTAGTGTAGGAGTAGGGTAGGGTAGGGTAGGGTAGGGTAGAGTAGAGTAGGGTAGGGTAGTGTAGGGGTAGGGTAGGGTAGGGTAGGGTTGCATTGAGTAACATCCTAACTTACAAAGGGCTCGAACAACTCGCATGCATCACCATCATACTTTACAGTTCAATTAAAAGCAGTCACCAAGTTCTACACAAATAATACCAATAAAAATGCAACTTTCTTCACCCAAACTAATGCATCCGTTAATCATACATATCAAAACATACAGTTATCGCGTGAACCTGTACCTCTAGTCTACTATTATAAATCTTAAAAAGTCCGCCGCCGCCCACGCCCACGCCGCCGTCGGGGTTACTCCCAAAAAGGCTTATTGCGGCGCCGTCGATTGACGCAGGACGGTGAAATTTTGACGACTCGTGGGTCACGTCATTCAACAGGTCGTATTAAATTTTGGGCACGATGCGGCCGGGGGTGCGCCCGTGGCGCGTGCTCATGTGCGCCATAGGGTTAGCATTAGTATCGGCAAAAACAGGCTATTGCTCGGGAACGGTAAGGGCTATAGGGGTGAAATTTTCACACCAAGTCGAGCGCGTGCACTCATTTGTCGTATTAAATTTTCGAGGGTGTGGGTTCAGCGGTGTGCACGTGATGGGGCCGCGACCGGCGCCGAGCAGAGGGCACGTGCTTTAGGCTCAGTTGTTCGCTTAGAAAACTGAGTGAAAAGCATCAGAGCCAACGAAGGCCGACACAAGGCACCGCTCGCCAAGGGGATTCGCCAGTAAATACAATAAATTTGTTTTGCAATATCTCAGCCGTTTCTGGGCCGATTTAGCTGAAACTTGGACTGTCGGTGGTAGTGTAGGGTAGTGTAGTGTAGGGTAGTGTAGGGGTAGGGGTAGGGTAGGGTAGGGTAGGGTAGGGTAGGGTAGGGGTAGGGTAGGGTATGGTAGGTTAGGGTAGGGTAGGGTAGGGGTAGGGTAGGGTATGGTAGGTTAGGGTAGTGTAGGGTAGGATAGGGTAGGGTAGGGTAGGGTAGGGTAGGGTAGGGTAGGAGATTGTAAGGTTAGGGTAGGGTAGGTTAGGGCAGTGTAGGGTAGGGTAGGGCAGGGGATTGTAGGGTAGGGTAGGGCAGGATAAGGTAGGGTAGGGGATTGTAGGGTAGCTTAGGGTAGGGTAGAGTAGGGTATGGGTAAGGTAGGGTAGAGTAGGGGTAGGGTAGGGGTAGGGTAGGGTAGGGTAGGGTAGGGGATTGTAGGGTAGGATAGGGTAGGGGATTGTAGGTTAGGGTAGGGTAGGGTAGTGTAGGGTAAGTTAGGGTAGGGTAGGGTAGGGAAGTGTAGGGGTAGGGTAGGGTAGGGTAGGGTAGTGTAGGGTAGGTTAGGGTAGGGTAGGGTGGTGTAGGGGTAGGGTATGGTATGGTAGGGTAGTGTAGGGGTAGGGTAGGGTAGGGTAGTGTAGGGTAGGTTAGGGTAGGGTAGGATAGTGTAGGGGTAGGGTAGGGTAGGGTAGGGGTAGGGTAGGGGTAGGGTAGGGTAGGGTAGGGTAGGGTAGGGGTAGGGTTAAGTTCAAAAAGGGCCTAACATACAAAACACTTGAACACCCCGCACCTATCACCAACCCTTACAGTTAAATTAAAAACAGCTACCCAAATCTACCCAAATAATACAGCTAAAAATACAAGTCAAGCACCCAAAACTAATGCACCCGTAACATAACATAAATCAAAACATACAGTTATCGCGTAAACCTGTACCTCTAGTCTACTATTATAAATCTTAAAAAGTCCGCCGCCGCCCACGCCCACGCCGCCGTCGGGGTTACTCCCTAAAAGGCTTATTGCGGCGCTGTCGATTGACGCAGGAGGGTGAAATTTTCACGACTCGTGGGTCACGTCATTCAACAGGTCGTATTAGATTTTGGGCACGAATCGGCCGGGGGTGTGCCCGTGGCGCGTGCTCATGTGCGCCATAGGGTTAGCATTAGAATCGGCAAAAACAGCCTATTGCTCGGGAACGGTAAGGGCTACGGGGGTGAAATTTTCACGCCAAGTCGAGCGCGTGCACTCATTTGTCGTATTAAATTTTCGACGGTGTGGGCTCAGCGGTGTGCACGTGGTGGGGCCGCGACCGGCGCCGAGCAGAGGGCACGTGCTTTAGGCTCAGTTGTTCGCTTAGAAAACTGAGTGAAAAGCATCAGAGCCAACGAAGGCCGACACAAGGCACCGCTCGCCAAGGGGATTCGCCAGTAAATACAATTAATTTGTTTTTGCAATATCTCAGCCGTTTCTGGGCCGATTTAGCTGAAACTTGGACTGTCGGTGGTAGTGTAGTGTAGGGTAGGGTAGGGTAGGGTAGGGTAGGGGATTGTAGGGTAGGGTTGGGTAGGGGATTGTAGGGTAGGGTAGGGTAGGGTAGGGGATTGTAGGGGATTGTAGGGTAGGGTAGGGTAGGGTAGGGTAGGGTAGGGTAGGGTAGGGTAGAGTTAGGTAGGGTAGGGTAGGGTATGGTAGGGTAGGGTAAGGTAGGGTAGGGTAGGGTAGTGTAAGGGTAGGGTATGGTAGGGTAGGGTAGGGTAGTGTAAGGGTAGGGTAGGGTATGGTAGGGTAGGGTAGGGTAGGGTAGGTTAGTGTAGGAGTAGGGTAGGGTAGGGTAGGAGTAGGGTAGGGTAGGGTAGGGTAGGGTAGGGTAGTGTAAGGGTAGGGTATGGTAGGGTAGGGTAGGGTAGGGTAGTGTAAGGGTAGGGTAGTGTAGGGTAGGGTAGGGTAGGGTAGGGTAGGGTAGCGTAGGGTAGGGTAGGGTAGGGTAGGAGTAGGGTAGGGTAGGGTAAGGGTAGGGTAAGGTAGGGTGGGGTAGGGTAGGGTAGGGTAGGAGTAGGGTAGGGTAGGGTAGGGTAGGGTAGGGTAGGGTAGGGTAGGGTAGGGTAGGGTAGGGTAGGGTAGGGTAGGTAGGGTAGGGTAAGGTAGGGTAGGGTAGGGTAGGTAGGGTAGGGTAGGTTAGTGGTAAGGTAGGGTAGGGTAGTGTAGTGTAGGGGTAGGGTAGGGTATGGTAGGGTAGGGTAGGGTAGGGTATGGTAGGGTAGGGTAGGGTAGGGTAGGGTAGGGTAGGGTAGTGTAGGGGTAGGGTAGGGTAGGGTAGGGTAGGGTAGGGTAGGGTAGGGTAGGGTAGGGTAGGGTAGGGTTGCGTTCAGTAACATCTTAACTTACAAAGGGCTCGAAGAACTCGCATGCATCACCATCATACTTTACATTTCAATTAAAAGCAGTTACCCACTTCTACAAAAATCATACCAATAAAAATGCAAGTTTCTACACCCAAACTAATGCATCCGTTAATCATACATATCAAAACATACAGTTATCGCGTAAACCTGTACCTCTAGTCTACTATTATAAATCTTAAAAAGTCCGCCGCCGCCCACGCCCACGCCGCCGTCGGGGTTACTCCCAAAAAGGCTTATTACGGCGCCGTCGATTGACGCAGGATGGTGAAATTTTCACGACTCGTGGCTCACGTAAATGAACAGGTCGTATTAAATTTTGGGCACGATGCGGCCGGGGGTGC